TCTAAATCGTTTTTTGTTGTTAATCCTCACCCGAGGATATTTTTTCCATTAATTTTTAGAGAGAGTGGAAGGGAAGGAGGAAGAAAGAGAGAAACATCGATGTGAGAGAGAAACACATCAATTGTTTGCCTCCCACATGACCCCCACTGGAGCCAGAGATTGAACCTGCAACCCAGGTACGTGCCCTTGACCAGGAATCAAACCCATGACCCTTCGGTCCACAGGCTGACATTCTAACTGCTGAGCCAAACCAGCCAGGGCTATTTAAATCTTTATTCGACACATTTTTCACACTGTTCAACTTCTCAATCAGACTTAATATGTTTAGCACCTACTTTCAAAGATATAGTTGCAATTACATCTCTGCCTTCATGGATCAAGAGGTATCAACTAATATGTTTATGTAAGGAGCCCCTGGAGGTTTTACAGCAAGAGCATCCGAGTCCATTCAGGCTTTTCCTAGTCCATGCAAGATACATAGGTGAACAGGAAATTGAAAGGGCACTGCATTCAATGTGGGAAGTGTTTAATACTTTATTGCACAAGGAACAGGATAGTATTTAAACAAGAGTAGAACAAATATATTAGTAACAGAAAAATAAAGAAGTATAAATGAAAAATTGCAGTGAGTAAAATTAGGGCAAGAATATTTAGAATAATAATGGAACAGTTTAGAAGAGAGAAAAAGATCAAGCAGGCCTAGGACAAAGCGAGTGAAAAGGTAGGGAGAAATTCAACAAAGCGTCTGAGGCAGACATACTAGCATCTAGTAAGAGGTCAGATGTAGAGAACAATGGGAATAAATGATGAATACAGGGTCTTTGCTTAACCAAGTAGGTAGAGATATTATTAACTATTAAATTGGAAGGGCAGGAAGAGGACTCGTTAGGGGGCAGATGTTGGTGATTATGTTGATCATTTGCTTCTTTGCTCTTGGATCTACTCTCTGCACTCCTGGGCTTCTCAGCATCATGAAGAACTACATAACCCAGGCTCCCTAGTTTCCAGGCCGGTTTCGTGATCAGCTCCTTCCAAGATTTCAGCTCCCACTAGACAAGCTTTCTGTCTTTGGGTCCAGTTTCCTCAGTGGTTCAAGCTCTAATTGGGTGGCTTTACCTCGTGGATTCTGGAGGTTTCACTGCTTCCTGTTACTCCGCTTGCCCTATGGGTGATAGTGCCTTCCTGCTATTTCCAATCTCTGGATTGTCTTGCCATCCCCATGTTAACTTCTTGTCTCATTTATTACCTATGTAATCAGTTCTGTGTATTAAATTCCCTGTTTGAAATACCTGGACTAGTATATTTCCTTGACTAGACCCTGACTGATACAGGAATGAGTTCAGTTTTAGATACATTGAGTTTGAGATAAATGTGGGGCTCCTCGGTCAAGATATTTAGAAGCAACTTAAAAATAGTTACCAAAGACCTGGCCACAGAGATTGGTTTGGAAGTCAACAACATGCAGATGGTATTTGAAACTGTAAAGTTAGACTTCCCAGATGGAATAAAGAGATGAAAAGATTAAACCAAAAAGATTAAATAGTGAGCTAACCTCTGAAATGTCAATATTTTTAATTTAGGGAAAGAAATAACTTGACAACTGAAGAAGAGGAGCCAAAGAAGTAGAAAACCCAGAGTCGGAATGTCACAGAAGCCAAATAAGAAACAAAATTCCCAAAGGAAGGGACACAACAGAGTCAAACTTGGTGGAAACAGCAGATAGGACACATACAAACATGTCCCTTGTATTTAGCAAGGGGAATGTCATCGCTACTTTTTTTCAGAACAATTACAATACAGTTGTGAGGAAGAAACAAGATGATGATGAGTTAAGAGGAGGATGGCGAATGGGAGAAGGTTGAAGACATCAGTGAATGTCAACTGCTTTTTCAAGATATTGGACAATGAAATCCTTGAAAGAAAGGGTGCTTTAATTTAAGGGAGAGGAAGGACTGAAGAAATGAAAGGCATGGACACTGAACACCCCACAAAAGAAAGAGGGAATGGGGTCAAATGTACAAGTGGAACAAATGGGTAACCCCACTGACAGGAGAGAGAGGATGCTGAGGTTGGTTAGGACACAGATACATTTACAGGGTTACTGATTATGACTTTTCTAACACGGTATTATCAAGTAGCAATCACTGTGCACAAATTTCTCTAAAATGAACAGAAGTATTATTTACTTCTCTCACTTCCAGCTCCCCTTTAAAGCAAAAAAAATGTTGGGGAAGGAATCACACATAACCTGTATATGAATCACATGCTTGAGGCTGAGGGTTAACTTTTCTCCAAGTGTCGTAAGCAAAATGTGAACATTCCACATTTACAATGACTGATATTAGTACCTTGAAAAAGAATAAAGACAGATAAAATTGGCTTAAGTGTTGATCTGTCAAATTTTGTCTTGTGATGAGGATATTTAAAATGTATAATCTGAGCAACTTTCACATATGCAGTTAACTATGTATTAACTATAGTCACCATGCTGTACATTAGATCCCCATGAAATTTGTTTCATAACTGGAAATTTGTACCTTGTGATCATCTCCTCCCATTTCACACTCCCCTCCCCCACTCAAGCTTCTTAATTTAGAAGACTGTAGCCCCATCTTTTACTTTTGCAGATGCTAAGCTACCTGAAAGTATTGGGAAAAAAACTAGTTTCATATATTCTACTTATATACATTGAATACAGTCTAGGAATGATACATCTATTTGTGGAAAACCACCAGATTGTTGTGTAACTACCCTGAAGCTATGAATTGCTCTGTAGTGTGTGGGTGTGTTATAGCTGTAAATCAACTCCCATAAGGATAAAAATTTGAGCAAATAACGTCTAGGCATCAAGCAGTAAATTGAAGGGAACTGATGCTTTCATAGACATATTCATTTTCTTTTTGGTAAGGAGAAAAAAATATTTTTGAAATAATTTAAATAGCCAAGGACAGAGGTAATTAAAAGAATAACATGCACCAACTTGTGTAGTACTTAGTATATATCATGCTGTGTTGACCATCCTTGACACATTTTACCGAATTTAATCCTCAACACACAATCCTATACATATTGTACTTAATTCAGCCTTTAAAACACGGCTCTAGAGGTAGGTAAGATTGTTACCTCCATTTCACAGATGAGGAAGTAGACCTGGAGGGATTAAATAATTTGCTCTGGGCTTTTCTCAGAGTCTAGACTGGCTCTAAAATCCTTCCTCTTAAGCACTCCACTATCATGTAATTTATAATTAGTGTCTTAGATATAGTTACTAACATAGGTTTAAAAATTTTGTCTGCTTTTCTTTTAATCCTCACCTGAGGATATGTTTATTGATTTGAGAGAGAGAAAGAAACATTGACTGGTTGCCTCCTGTATGTGCCTCAACGGGGAATTGAACCTGTGATGTTTGGTGTACGGGATGATGTTCCAACCAACTGAGCCACCTGGCTGGGGCTGCTTTTCTTTTTTAAGGACCATCATTTGGGGGCTAAAGTTTTAAAGTGTTTGGGTTTTTCCGAAATATATCTCTAAAGAAAAGAAAATGTCCATAATTACTTTTGAAGTTTTTTAATGCATGAAAAGAACATCCCAGAAACAGAACAGGCATTGACTTATTGATGGTGAAGCACTATACAAGAGACCCCCTGCTCAGGAATAGGAATATAGTGTAAATAGGCGTGAAAGGAGGTGAACACTTCAGGATTAAATGCGAACCCTAAAGTGGTATACAACATTCATATATGGCTTATCTCATAGCAATACTATTTTCATAATGATGTATATGACATTTATACTTATCGGTAAGATGCTTTTGACTCAAAAGTTAACCAAAATGCTGAAGAGGTAGTTTTGCCAATGCAAGGCGAGAGAAAGCCTTTACCTTGCTTTTTTCCCCTCAAAAATCTGCAACCATTTCTTCTCGTTCTAATTTTCTTCTGGATCAGCCAGGAACATAATGAAGCTTTTAGAAGCAGCCAATTCAAAACCCTTAAAGAGCTGATTTCCCAAAGGGAACAGTGATGCTTTTTTTTTGGACCCCTGCCCTAAAAGCCACCCCCTGGGAGCTTCCACAGTGCCCCCCTCCGATATGAAACAGATTCTGGCTCAAAGGAGACCTGTCAAGATCTGACTTCAGTTGTAGGAATTCATACTGTTTTCTCCTTGGATTCTACGCATAGTCTCATGATGGCAACTCCTACAGGGACCTCAAAATATCACATGTGCCCTGTCACTGTACGTCAGGGACTGCTTTCAGTGACGCGTGTGTGTACGTCCAAGTTTGAAATGAAAGCCCGAAGAGTTCTCTCGCTGGCCCCCGAAGCTGCGTGCTGGGTTCGGCGGGTGCGCCCCCTGCTCCCCGCTGCTTCCTGACGTCAGCGCAGCTGAGCCGCAAAGGGAGTTCTGCCTCCTGCCTGCCACATGCTGCTTCCTCTGAGCGAGGAGATTCTCAAAGCCACTGACACCGGTCCCTGGACCCTATGTACAAACTAGCTTCCCCTACCCTTACAATGAGAAAGAAGTCCACGAAGAAAAGAAAAGGTAAGTTCCAAGGCAAAAAACAAAACAGCTGTCAACTTGCCAAACTAGAACAGCCATTGACCGGACAACGGTTAGAAACCACTACGAACAAAGTGACATCTATTCGTCAGGTATGACTTGTTACACATAAGAGCATAAATATACAGTAAATAAGAGGTTTATGCAAAGCCCCAGCAGAATATGTACATTTCAGAGCTGCTGTGACACTGAGAGGGAACTCCTGATGCATGTCCCCAGCTAGGAACAGAACCAGCCCGCAGCAGTGTGAAGGGAACGGATGCCAGGAACCTGTGGTCACACGAAGCAGAGATCCACATACATTTGTCCTTGACGATGCACAAGGTGAGAAATAAAGGGCACACGTGAAACAGCTCTTTGCCTGATGAGCTTCTTCCTCCCCATAAATATGCACAAGCCCATTCTCCAGTGGTGGTCTGCAGCCTCACACCTCGTGCCTCTCCGCCGTGGGGCCAGGATCTCGGGGCGCACACCGAGCCCAGTCACATGCTGTACACGCTCTCCTGCTTCCTCTGATTTGGGTCACGAGCTCCCCCCGTCCCAGGCTCCAGCTGCAAATCGAAGCATAAATAACGGAGGCCACATCGTGGCTGCTCCTTTCACAATGTCACTGGGAACAGATACCGGTCAGAGCAGCACAAACACCGCACACCAGCGTCCGGGAGTGGAGAGTAGCTTTGTGCACTTTTGCAAAAAACAAAAAACCCCAAAGTCCACCCGATGTGTCTCTGATTTTACTGGTTAGCCCTGTCTGTAGCTAGGAAGACACTGTGTTGCTCCTGGGCTCTTTCTATCAGCTTCCTCTTCTTCTTCTTGTTCTTCTTCTCCTTGGCCTTTGGTGCTCTCTTCCCTACAACAGGCAGAGAAAGAAATGAAGACGTGTCAGAAAAGGCTCTTTCTCTAGGAAAGAAAACATAAAACATTAAGAGTTTTACACAAAGCCCATCTGGAAAACATCACCTATGGAAAAAGCAGCCTCAAAGAGAAAATTGTTCACATTAATTTTGATGGAATAATAATAATTTACTAAATTGGATATGCTGTCTAAAGCAGAGACTGATCTTCCTGTTACAGGGAACTGGCATCTTTAAACACCTCCCAGCGGCCTGATCAGTCTTGCGAATATCATCCTGCCACAAAAATTCCACTTATCCCCTCCTCCTTTTAACAATGCTACCCTTGACTAGACATCTTTACATCTTTCTACTGCTCCACATGTCAGTGGGTCAAAAGAAAATAAGCATCTATCTACAGTAAATATACCAGAAGTTTCAATCCCCCTCGCCCTGCCCCGTGGGAGAAACAAATGTCTTGCTTTTAACATTATTCCCTCTGTGTTCTCCGAAGGCCAATATATGAAATGACATATGTGGAACACTTCTTTATTTTCTCTAAAAATTCATGAGGCCATCATTCATTATGTGGCTTATGGCTTCTTATGGAATTCCCCAGACAAGTTGCGATTATTAATTGAGAGCAAGAAAAATGCTTCTTTCTGAAGAACTGGTGGTATGGGTCTTAGAACCAGAAAATCACACCATATTATCCTAACTGTTCTCTTTGCCTTAGGCACTAGGAAGCTCTAGCCACAAGCTAAATAGTTCAGATTTCAGATGCAGTCTTCCCTTTGCTGTATTTCACTTCTTAACATCTTGTGGTTATGCACCATGGTCTTTATAAGGTCTGGCATTTCTTTGCAAGTATGTGTACATAAGATTATGAGAAAAAAGAATAAGGAACGTAGACATTCACTTTAGGTCCACTGCTCTCTTTGGGTTCTAAGCACACGGGGATGATGGGATTTTTAAGAGCAGAAAATAGCCTTAAAGGGTACCTGCATTTTACAGAAAGTGAGTCATCATTATACATCTTCAGCACAGGAAGGTTTTTCCTCAAAAGACTAGAAAGAACCCTACGGCCAGCTCTCCTGCCTGCCTAGGTCCCATTTTATTGTGTAGTTCTGCACAATTCCCTGTAGTCATACCATGACCAGAACATCTAGTTATAGCCCATGCTTTCCAAGCTTCCCATACCTAAGGTACTCAGTACCCCAGACCTTTTTATGACGGAATAAATAGGTGGCCAGTTCTCAAGTCGACGGGGGAGAAGGTGGCTGATGTGAGAAATGAAGAAGAAATGGACCAGAGAGGTAGCTACACACCTTAGGAAACCTGAATCATTCTAGACAGAGAGGCCATGAGGGTCCTACCTAAGAGAGGTGTTTCTCCTTCCTGCTCCTCTGGTCAGAAAGGCTCTATTTGAATTGAGGATGGAGAACAATCTCATGGGTAAAACTCGAGCACGTGGTTGCCACATAGTCGATATTTAGAAGTGTTTGCTAAGTAAAACTTTTATTACAAGAAAAAAGGTTTTTAAAAAGAATAACTCACTTTTAATAGGACACTACAGTAAAATAATCAGAATATGATCATGCCCTCACATCAAATTATGAAGGTCCTTGAAGTTAACTTCTGGTTCTCATTAAATTCTGGCATTAATGTTATAATGGCATTTTGCCATCTTTAAACATAGTTAATCCTACCCAATGAAACTTTAGTCCAAGCCATCATTAATCAAAAAAAAAAAAAAAAAAAACTGTAAAGTTACAACTATTTAGTAACACTGTATCTAACGATGAGACATACTTAATTAGGGCAGAGAGATGAAATATTTAACATAAAATGGCATATTTAAAAAGATGCTTAAATTATAAAGTTATATAAAGGCTTTTCTTAGATCTATATTTTATCTAAACAAAAAAATCTTTTAAAAATCATTGCTGACTACATTGTAAAAATTCGGTTTATATTTCATTTCTTTAAAGGCTGGAGTTTTCTTTAAAAGCAAATCAAAATTAAGTGAATGGAAAATAATGCCAACATTCCTTTATTTTAAAATGTATTCTGTTAAGATAAAAATATACTGAATATGTTATTTAAAGAAAGCTTTTCACAGTCACCATTTCAATTCTTCACATAAATGATTTAGTTGAAAATCAAATGTGCACTACTTCCACTAACAGCAAATCTAAGCTAAATTACTGGAAACTCATTTTAAGAGAGGGTCAATTTTATGTCATTTACCTAATATATTATTCTGATGTAATTGTCAACATCAAATGGTCTTTGATTTTGCTGGCTGATATAATATTGTGTGCGATAGAAAAGTTATTCAATATTTGCATAAAATCATCCTTATTGTGGCCAAAAATTCAGCAGTGCTTCTGAAAACTTACGTATATAAAATAATTTTTCAAATTGTACAATTATTCTATCGGCAATAAGTCATATGGTACCAGTTCCAACTAGAGATGTTCTGGGAGACTTAATTACAACCCTAAAATTTTTCCTCAGCAATCTCTTTTGAATGACATTTCTGTGCTATTGGCTCATGGCTTGGTTTTGTTCTTGGTCAGCCCCACTTCTCATGTAAGATATATTGCAAATACCGACGAGTTAAGATGGTTAGCCAAGATTTGACCACGGATAGGCCTAAATGAACTGAAAATATGTTGTGGTCCATAGTAGGTTGTTTTGACTTTAAGCCCAACTCAAAGTAATAAAATAATATTAAAACATATCCTAACATAACGGTCTTGCACATATTTTCTTCTGCTCTCTGCTAAGGTTTAACAAAAGAAATTAATTGGTAAGATTAAATATAACAAAAATGGCCCAGCCAGTGTGGCTCACTGAACTGAGCATCGTCCCGTGGACTGAGAGGTCCCGGTTCGATTCCCAGGCAGGGCACATGCCCGGGTTGCGAGCTCGATTCCTAGTAGGGGGCATGTAGGAGGCAGCCGATGGATGTTTCTTTTTCTCTCTCTCCCTTCCTCTCTCTCTTAAAAAAAAAAATCAATAAATACATTAAAACTATATATATATATATATGCATATATATATATATATATATATAAAACAAAATACATATCCCTGTTCTTTTTTTTTTTTTTTTATCCTCACCCGAGGATATTTTTCCATTTTTTGTACAGATAGAGTGGGAGGGAGAGAGAGGAAGGAGAGAGAGAGAGAAACATCGATGTGAAGGGACACATCGAGTAGCTGCCACCCGCACGACCAACCAGGGCCGGGGACAAACTGCAACCGAAGTATGTGCCCTTAGCGGGAACAGAACCCGGGTCTCTCCGGACCGCAGGCCGACGCTCTAACCGCTGAGCCAAACTGGCCAGGGCTATATATCCCTGTTCTTATTTATATATTTGAAAATGACATATTGAACATACAAGCATGCTAAGTTATGTTTTTACTTCTTCACATCTGTGGATAGGAGATCAGACTCAGAGAATGACTTCTATACTTTCAGATTATTTCACATTTTCAAGAACATTCACCCTGTCCAGAAAGCATTTTAAGGCAAGTTTGGTGCCAGTCACCCAAAGAGTAATCCAACTCATGGATTTAACCTTCTTGCTTTTTAGTTCCAAGAGAAGACTTGGAAAACAAACTCCCCAAGATCAGCAGGAAAGGTCTGCATTTTATTAGGAGATGTCAGCCTCCAGGTATGTCCAACACTCATGACAAATTGCATATCTTTGTCCTGGGTGCCTTAAGAATGCAGTTGCCTTGACGGAACATGACTGAGTGAATCTCTTCAGAATCAAGCAGAATCTGATCTACAGAGCAGACCTTTTGGGCACGGTTGTGCGAATGCAAGAAGACAGTACCTCAGATACTGCAGCTTCTTGGGAAGGCATCTAGTTTCACAGAGAAAGGCCCCCCTGGGAGGAAGGAAACCTGGTAGGTAGGCACTGTCTTGTAACGGAGGGGTCTGGTGCAACATTATACTTGTGACTCTGTTTCTACATTTATAGAAAGAAGATGCTATAGTCATCTTTCATTAGAAAGTTATGAGACACCGTTAGAAAAGACTGTCTTCCTGGGATGAAAGGAAGATGAGTAAAATTCCACTGGCAAGACAAGATAATCATCGAAATGAACAAAGTTAGAAAGGTATTATCAAAGCCACACTCACCAACATAATTACATTGACTTGCACACATGTGGAAATGGTCCAACAGGATAACCTATCAACTCTTCCACAGAGAAAGGTGAACAGTGCCTTATGGAAATACTCCTAACATCCATCTGTAGATTACTGCTATTAGAATCAGAAACAGGATAGAGTATTTTGAACCAAGATATCACGCAGCCTCACAAATTACATGAAGCTGTGAAAATACTGACTCCCCTACCAGTCACACATGAATTTCATTCTTCCATAAGCTCCTAAATGCAGTGAAGTTCTTGAAATAGTGTTTTTCTCTTACGAGGTTTAGATAAAAGTCTTTTTCATCATCGGAACAATGGTTCTTGTGCATCCATCAGTGAGGCGCAAAGGTTGTGAAGAATTCCATAATGATTACTAAGTGTTTTGAGGAAGACTTTTGAAATGGTAAATACAATGAAAGAAAACAAGAAAAAGTTTAGTAGCTGTGATTAGCAAAAACAAAAACAACAAAAACAACCAAAAAACTTCTCTCTCCATATACACACGGACTGGAGGAGGTAAGCCACAATTATGACAAATGCAATGAACTGGAATTAGCATTGTTATAGCCACAACTATGATGACAATGGTACCAGGACCAATTTCTATTAAATTTTAAAAATGTGTGATGCCAACTTGAAAACTAGGCTTCACTGTATTTATGAAATTCATTATGGAGACTCCGGAATCACCTCAAAGAGATTCAGTCATCCTTCCGAGCAGCTAAAATCAAGGGACAAGAAGCCTGTGTAATTACCAACTGGTGAATCTTGTCATATGTCAGAGGCCACAGTGTAGGCAGAACACGAAAGGTCGTCTCCGCAGGTAAAGTCACAGGGACTG